TAAACCCCCTTCTTAGAAAACAATTACTCAGCACCTCCCAAGGGCACTAAAAACTTTAACGCTGTATCTCACATTCACCACCACCGAGTCAAGGCAGACTCAGAGTGGTTTTACTGGACAGAGTAGGACTGCCCTTGTGAGATTCTGAGGCTGTAACTCTTCATAGCAGGGGATCTCAACCTGGGGGTTGAGACCCCTATGGGGGCCAAAAGATCCTTTCACAGGTGTCCCCCGATTCCTAACAGTAGCAAAATTACAGTTATGAAGTAGCAACAGAAATAATGTTATGGTTGGGGGGCGGGTGTCACCACAACATGAGGAACTGTATTAAAGGGTCGTAGCATTAGGACGGTTGAGAACCACTGCTGTAAAAGAACAGAAAGCTCCGTATTTCTCCCTCAGAACACCTGGTGTTTTCAAACTGCTGACATTGCAGTTAGCAGTGCCCCAAAGTAACCACTACACTGTCAGGGCTCCTACCATACCCCGTAATCCAGGATAAGCCATAGTATTTGCTTTTGCTGCTTCCCTGGATCAGTCTAGTGCCCCTTTATCAGGGCAGTAAGTATCACCTACTTTGGGAAACATTGTCCTGTGTGATAGTACCAAATCCACCCAGCTTCTTAAAGCAAAGCATTATGAGCCCTCTTTTCAAGTTCTTCTCTCCTGCCACCTACCTGCATGTAGTCTCTTACTAAATCCTGTCAATTTGACTTGAAATACTTACCATTTAATTTGCTAGCCCTTCTTCATTATGCAATTGTATGCACAACAAATGAATTCCTAATTAATTTTTCTGCTGGCAATTTCTGTTATCTAAGTAAAGCAAGTATCACTATCATGTTGAAATTCCTTAATTAGATCAACTACACATCTTGTACAATAGTAAACGGACCTACAATATACAAGTAAACAACCATGGCTGTAAAGGAAACAAAGATTTCTTAAATAGACACAAAAGGAACCAGCCATAAAAAGAAAGCTTAACATGTTATTTACCAAAAGTCAGCGTTAAGACAGTGAGAAGACATGATG